GGGAGCCGCCGAGGCTGGTCGTAGCCTCGCCGAGCCCGCGGTCGGTCGGAAAGCAAGTCTGACCGGCTGGTCCCCGCGGCGGTGCCCAGGTGGGAGCGGGGCGGAGGTCGCTGGGCGTCTCCCTAGCACCTCTATAACAAGTCATGACCCTGTTAATGGCCCAGTCATATATTATAAATCAACAGTATCATAAATCGCACTAATCCCCATTGAAAATAGCAAACAGTGTGACGTAAATCCAAATGCCGGCATGAGGACTGTTTTGTTAACATAGTTAAGGGGGGAAAAACTGGGTGCATACAAATGTTTCGCTCATCACGTTTTGCAAACCAGATGCTTTCAAGGACAGGTGTTGGGAAAATCTCAATTTTCGTGACACAGCCACGTGATTTAGATAGAACAGAAGTCAAATACAAAGCTCTGAGAGGTTTAAAGAACCTTAGGAACACTGTAATACAATATAATAATATTATTTTCAATTGTGGGTTGAAAATAATAACCATATTTACAAGACAAACTAGATAAAAGTTAAACTAGTAAGATGGTAAAATAAATTGCCTTTGTTTCAGCTCTAGCTGAGTTCTGCATAACTAGATAGGAAGTCACACTAGCATGTCTCTGCAAACAAAACCTTGAAACTTACTAGATTAGTGTTGCTTTATTGTTTATTTACATGGACAAACTCAAAACTAATATATTGACAGATTACATCGGGTCTGGTCTAATTTTTCCTGTTTTATGAGAATGCTGTGAATATGTGTATTGTATCTTTTGGGATGTGTTCACTGAATAAATAACATGCCTTTTTAAATTGAAATTTGTTTCTAATAGTAATGATTTATTAGACTAATTAGATTATATGTGTGGTACATACAAATCCCGTGCTTTCTTAGACAAAATCACGTGTGGCATAAAGTTCCTACTAAGGCAAAAGTCCCACTCACTACAGAATGGAAGTACCTGTCCAATACGGCACCTGTTATGGATAGCTGTTCTTTACAGTGTAATTAAATGTAGAAATATTCAATAAAAGCTTAGATCATTATAAGGTAGATGATTGAAGAGAAAAAATTAATTTCAGTATGTGGGTTTTACTTACCACAATCAAATTTATAGTCCTTCTAGCTGTATATAGACTAAAGTTCAAAAAACAAATGTTTAATCACCTGATTATACTTTTCCTTTTACAAGGCAAACTGAGTATTTTGTGTGAAAAGGGTGAGTATGAGAAACCTGTCAAATTTTCACTTAACGTGCATTCTTTGCATATTGTGTGGCATTTGTCAAACTAAAAGTTTTGCAGATACTTCCTCTGTAGTTTCATGTCGAGAAAACAGGAAAAGCAAAAAGAATGCAATGTAGGCTGTGGATAAATAAGTATGTGTTTTATCAGTAAACCTTGAAAAATGTCAGGCCATCCTAAGGATACAAACTAACTAGTAGAAACTAATTACGGTACAAACTAGACTTGCTCTGACCTGCACTGTTTTTAAGCAGTTCTAAACCTGTTGGGTAACTAGTGACCTTATCAAATGCCCTTTGAAATGGGTGGAAAAAAACTGGAGTAAGTATTAATAAAATAATAGATCTTCTGCACACATAACCTGTGTGCAGGTCATGAAGTGTTATAGAAGGTTTAACTCGGTAGACTTACATCATTTTAACTAGTGTAATGATGAACCCTTATGAAAGTACGTAAGACTAAGTTTTTTCAGTTTATTTAATTATCACAACTTGTTCTTACATTTGATTTGAATTTTAGGTGCTGAAATAATGGAGAATTTTACTTAATCTGTGCATTCTACAATTAGAAGAAAAATAGCACTGGCTCTTCATTTGTCATGTAACCTGATACGTAGATACACTGTGTTGTGTACTCTACCTGGAGATGTTATCTTTTCAGCAAAGGGGCTGCTAACAGTAATTTATCAGGAAAAAATGCCTACATTTTCCTCAATATCCTGTCATCTGTTTTATAGATGAGTGAGGTTCTAGGGACAAGGAAAGAAAGGGTTCTGGTTATTCTTTATTACTTTGCATTGAGTTTTGAGTAAATTCAGCCTAAAAATGGAAGAATGGAACAATTTTTATTTTTTTTTTCTGCAGAAAGCTGGGCCTTCATTTACATCTGAATTTCACGTGAGCCATGTCATCGTGAGTAGAAATTGTTTTTCCCAGCCTTAGAACATGTCTCACGTAAGGGCCAACCACATCATAGTCCTTAGTGACTACAGTGATTATTTTTTATTTAGTTCGGCTGAATATTGTGAAGTTAACAGCTTGTGGGAGCCTCTGAGCTCTGCTTTCTTAGCAATGAAATAGAGGTTTCTTTGTTTTATTTCCTTTGAGTGGAATGATTACCTCAGCCTTCACTTTCATGCTAGTGATTCAAATAAGAAACAAAGGAAATCTTCATGTACTTTCTTTGCAAAAGCTATTCATAGGAAATATCTTTGATTTAAACGTAGCAATTAAATGAATATGCATGCTTGAAAAGGTTAAGATCTGTTAGTGTTGTTAAACTGAAGACTCCTGTTTACCTACAGAGTAGGTATTGTGCAAAGAGCTGAAATAAGAGCTTCCCTTCCCTGACTCACTATTGACCTTAACCTAGACCGCTCACGTTCCGTGTTTGTAGAGCTGAGATGTTTTCTGTGATCTTTTCACAGAGCTTCTCTGATTCAGAAATTACTAATCTGTTAAAGAGTAGACAGCGATCAGGAGCTGAACTGAGACTGTTACAAAATCAACAACATAATTAATAAAGCATCTAAACAACAGGCCTGTTACAGATAATTAATTCTTGCAAGCAAAAGTTTAAGAATCCCTGCAGAAATGTTAGGAAGTATTTTAAAATGTGGTGCTTGATCTGATAAATTTACTTAACAGTCCGTGAAAGGAATTTGTGAATGTGAAGATTCTGTGAAGGAAATGTACAAAGGGTAGAGTTTGCAGCAATTTTTTTGTTAAATGTATTCCTGGTCTCTCGCATAATGTGAATTCTTCCCACGTTTTCAGAAACTGACTTCAACACCTTTGTGTTCTTTTAAATAGAAAAGGATGCTTTGTAAGTTATTTGAATGTTTTTAAATATTCAGGTTTTACAGTTGTAAATGAAAGCTGAATTTTGCAATCTAGTTGGATATTTTAAAATTCATTTTCTTGTTGCTCACTGAGTATTTGCCATTTACTAATTAGTTGGTTTTATGTTGATTTTCAGGTAGCTCTTAACAACACACACAAGAGGTGTGTTTTTATGTTCCTTGACTGGGAATTAGGCTTCTCAGTAAAATTCTCACTTTTAGAAAGTCAAATTAGCTTTCTAGTATTCTAGCAAGTATTTGTAACTTCTTCCCCATTACAGAAGTCAATAGCTAAGTTAGCCCAAACGTTGTCTGTTCACAAAAGACCCGGTTGGAATTTTCTTCATTTCTTATCTAAGTAGGGCTGGCTCCTCTCTCCCTATGTTCATTTTTAGCTGAAGGAGGTTGGCTACAGTGTATGCATATTCTTAATTTTGAGGAATGATTGTACAACATACTCTGTGCTTTCTGTTCATGAATTAAGAAATAATGAAGT